CAAATCGATTTGGTGTACCTCCTGTTACAGGTAACCACACCAACTACATTTCGATGCGAGCTTTAGCGAGTGCAGTTAGCTCTTGGGCGATTCCAATTGTGATTTTGTGTTCACAAATCTGGCAATGTGTAGCTGCTCCAAGGGGTTAAAAGTACTTAGACCGGTCTGGTTTCACCGAATTAAATGCTTTCCCTGTTTTCGTCAACCATTTTGTCATTTCAATTCGATTGGCTAAATTTCCACCAATGGGCGGCGAGAATTTACCCTGATTCCAGTGGCTTGACCAAAGCATGAGAGGTCCTGCTTGTCACATCCTCACCATTTTGCCATGCTAATCTTAAACAATTAGTCATTTATGATTTTTTTCTTTAAAAATAGATTTTTTTGGCTTTAGTTCAAAAATCAGTTATTGATCCTTGATTACCCTAAAAGCTGGAAAACGGAGATACCCGGACTACTGTTTCACATGACTTACTTCTATTTCATGAATTTATGACCACACTTTGAAGTCATGTAATTCTGGCCAAGCTAGTTTACTCTAATTTTGGCCTGCCCGATTAACATTCTCATAGCATACAGAGATGGAGACAATCGGTATTGATTATAATACAGTTTTCTGAAAAAAAAAGTTTAGGTAGAGGTTATCCATTAAAAACAGGCCGACATTGCCTGAGCAAATGTCTATTTTCGTTCTGTTCGCAATTCTGATTGGTCAATGCTTCCGCTGGCCGGGTTGCTCATGGGGGAAACTAGTGGAGGATTACCTCATTGCACCAATTATCGATTGTAGTTGATAGGACGCATTAAAGCATTCTAACACTTCCCATTGAAACGATCTGTAGGTGGGGACACCAGTGGATGTGCGAGACAAGGAGAATCGAACACCTCTGCACTCAGCGGCATGGCAGAACCACGCAAAGGTGTGTCGAGTGCTTGTGGAACAGGGGGCTAACGTCAATGCCGTTTGCAGTCAGGGCGCATCGGCGTTGTGCATCGCTGCACAGGAAGGCCACCTTGGCGTCTGTGAAGTCCTTTTGCAGGTAGATGCATCCGCCTCCACGCAGTCTTTCTTAAAGTGACACAGATTTTTTAAAAAAAATTGCATTCCCTCCTCTGCTGCTCAAAACAAACCGAAATTTATGCCCTTTATATCGAAATCACCAAGGATTAGGATTGGCTGCCTCCCACCCAATCGAGCATAAGCCCTTCGTAAAAAAAACTTGATTGGTTAGCAGAAATTTGTAGCACAGAAGCCTACCTTCACATTGCGTGTTCTGATATAATTTCCTGATATCAGGATAGTTTGGCGGCGGCTACAAATGTACTTTGCGGCAGATGTCAAAACATAACAGAGCAGGCACAAAATGATCTGTAACTAATGACTGAAGCCGGGTAGAACTCAATCGAATCCTATTGATGCAAATTTACACAATATACTAGAAAAGTAGTACAATCATTAACTAGCATTTGCGTACACCTTTGGCGACCTTAACAACCAATCAAATTGACAGCACTCACGAAGTAGATGTGAGCCAATGGGATGAAAACGCGGTCGATTGGACGAATACGAAATGGTGTGTATGATGGTATAAGCATGTAAAAAGGCGCATTTATCCGCAAATTAAGCAAAAGTATGCGTTTTAGAAAACACTAACCTTCACAATACCCTAATGGAACATTTTTAAGTGACTTGCTGTTCTTCCAATTTGAAAAATGCAGCTTACATATATTTCCCATTGTCTAGCAACTTGTTTATTTCTCAAATATTCACAAATTTCGAGCACGTCTTTTACACAATTCTGACGTTAACCAGATCAACGTGTCCTAGTAACCATGCGCCATTTTAATAAAACGCAGTTGACCTTCGAACGTTAAAATGAATTATGGCGCCTGCTCAAACACACGCCGCTTTAAATCTAGAAAAGACGTTTAATTAAAACAGCCCGCGCTTGCAGCATGTTCTTTGTTTTAATTTAACAAAATAGTTTGAACATAATCGACACGTCGGGTAACTGATGCCACTGAACAGCATTCGAGCAAACCTCTTGGTTTTTATTATATCGATTAACGAGATTCAATAATTTTCAAATGGGTGTTTTTTTGGTTTTTTGTGGAAAAAATTAAACTAAAACAAGTTTCCTGGTATTCTGTTGAACTGCAACAGTGTGGAGCAAACGCCCAGCAGGTTGACGCCTACGGTAGAACAGCCTACAAGGTGGCCCTCAAAGCCGGCCACAATGATATCTGTGCCCTGCTGGAACGCTTCGGCGGTATTCTGGCAACTCCGCCTCGTATTCGACACCGTTGGAAGCAAATGACACCCACTGGCATCGCCAAGTCGTCTCAGCAGCAGACGACGCAGCTTGTGCCGGCTCAGTCGCAGAAGATGGCGGAGCACATGGCGATTCAACGGCAGGCCAAATTTGAAAGCGACCAAGCAAGAAGTCCACGCACCACTGTGGAAGTCTCCGTGGCACCCCCAAACGCTTTCGTCGGCCAAGTGAACATTGGATGTGCCACGGCAACCACTGGATCTGTTGTTTTGCCTCAAGGTCAGATCTGTGAATTGATTGATTACTCCTGAACATAATCCGTTTAAACAAAGTGGTTGAACAACGAAGAAGTGCAAGCAACTTAATTGATTGGACGTAATCCCAACCAATCACATCCTTTGAGAATGCCTGTGATTGCTGTGCTTTTAAATGTAAATTCTGGTCTTTGCATCAAAAAACTTTCCATTTTTGTTACTTTTTCAATTTTGGCAATCAATTTTAAGCAATGCACGCATAATCACTTTGCTCTTTTTCAAGTATAATGCAATAATGCAGTAAGTAAGCATTACCTCATTAAAGTGTAGTGGCCACTAACACCCCACGAAATCTGGCAAGGAAAATTTCTAGATAATGATGCAACCAAGTGAACACAAATGGTTTATTTGAAAGGCATGAAAATGCGCTTAACCCCTAGTCAATCCCAAGTCTTCGTACAAAAATCGATAAATTTGTGACTTGTTTGAGCACCGATCACAATAGCAAGCTAATGACCTTGGGTTGTCCGTGTGAACATCGATCGCCAAGAATAACTAGTACTTAAACCCAGGCTGAAGTACAAAAATCAATAAATTTGTGAGTCGGCTCGGCTCCAGGCTGTCTCGTGAACATCGATCACCAATCACAGGCCAGAAATGCACGTCAAGCACCGTTCATCCGAGTCCATTATGCTAGCTGCATCGATCATCACTTACTACGCCTCAACCCTCTTTGTCTCTGGTTGGCTGGTGATCTTTTACGCAGGTCATTCAGACGCCCAAAGACAAGGGATTGGCTAAGCTCAGTGTGATCCAAGATGTCTGCGCCGTAGTACGGCTCACCTCAACCCAGAGTCATTGTAAAAAATCAATAAATTTGAGAGTCAGCTGAGCACAATTCAACTAGACCAGTTATGAACACAATGAGCTAATGGGAGAAATGTCATCCTTATTTTCATCCAATACACTGATCCAACTTGAGCCCAGGGGGTTTAAGTCAGCAAAATATACCAAAAATTGGGACTAGGGCGTCTTTATCGGCGATAAATTAGGACCCAGTGCAATTGCATGTGCACCATAGAGGGGACTAGCCAAAGCGTTTGTTTATACTTCAATCCAGGCATGTGGCGCGCTGTGGAACAGCAAAACGTGTAAAAAGAGCCATCACACGTCAGACACACACACGCACAAAGCTGGGACTTGAAGCGTGCCTTCATTATCGATTTTGACCAATACCATTTCGTCTATTAAACACTTTTGATTTAAACGTTTCTAAGTGATGTTGACGTGGCTCTCAGCAAAAAAGTTTTCCAACGACTTCAAGAAACACATCTTTGCATTTCTTACTGGGTTCAGACAATCCCCTATCAGTCGGAGTGCATGCATAACTCGGACATGTCGCAAGTGGAATAAAGTCTACTTAACGACAACAGTTTGAGACAATATAGCATTGTTTGTTTTAATAAAATGCGAGTGCGCGTTCCTTAATATTGTTGTTTTCTAGTTGTAGCTACCTCCAAATAGCAGATTCTAATAAAGTTAAACAAGGTTTTTGGACTAGGACCCTTTTGACGTTGGTAAAAATCAGTAAATTTGTAATTTTAAAATCTGGACAGCATTCTATGCGGAGTAACAATCCTTTACATTTCCTAAAACTTTGCTTTATTAAACTGGAATAAATTATTCATCGACGACACACCAAAATAAATGCTTTGTGCAGTATTTTCGCATTTTAATTTGTCACAGTAAATTAAACAATTTATGTTTTAACGGTGACCGATTTCTCTGCACTATGTGCTCCAAAATGTCCTACATAAGTTATCAATTGACCAATAGTTGAGCACTCTCGGTATTGATTGGTTGATTTCGGTTCAAATTTAGTTTCGATTTTTGTACATTAACGGATGAAAAGCTGTAATTTCATAATTTTTTTAATGAAGAGAAAAAAGGCAATGAAACAGAGAACCTAATCTTTAGTGCACTTGCTAACCCTCTAAACGACGCTTACAACAATCCTTTCCAAAAAAATCAGCTTCATTTTCTCCATACAAATACAAATCTTACCTTCAGGTTTTCGTGAATGCATGGTCCTATGGCTGGAGTTGGGTGTGGTTTAATGTGCGGTTAAATTGCTTTAGGTGATGATGCATTGGGGAGTTATGCAAGGCCTTCAATCGCCTCAATGAACACAGGTCCAACACCGCCACCGCACCAACAACACTTCAAGCAGCAATCGCATCCCCAATTCCTCGCACACCATTGGCCAGCCCAGCAGATGGCCTTCGACCCCAACCAATGGCAGCCCGTCTTCCCCCAGGGCCTCCACTTTTCCCCCAACCCCACGTGGTGTCATGTGGACGCGGGTCCAGCGGTCTACTTGAGACCCCCTGTGGGCTCAAACCAGAAATCGCTCTACACGCCGCCTGTATTCTTTGCGCCTCAAGTCGCTGCTTCATTCGACCCGCATCAATTACACCAGCAACCGGCCTATGTGCTTTCACCTCAGGGATTTCTTGTTCCAGCGCAGGCTCCCTACTTCGTGCCAGCTATGCATCAACACCAAAACGCACCCAACCCACTACCATCAGGCTTTCATCAAGCTATTGGAATGACCCAAGTCCACGGTAGGTCACTAACGACTGACTTATCATTGCATTCAAGTGGAAATGGCTGCGCACTATCACCACCACCACCACCTCCTCCTCCTCCCTAACACCACAACCACCACCACCATTACCACACACACCACCTCCCACCGCCACCTCCTCCTCATCACTAACACCACCCCCACCACCTCCCCAAAACCACAACCACCACCATTACCAATGAACACAGACCTTTTACTGAATTCAAGCAATAAATTCAGTAAATAAATTTGTTGACAGTAAGACTTTATACATGCTGATAAAATCGGCTTAGAATCCAAAGTTACTTGCGTAGCGGAAGTAGCTGCAGTCTACACAAAGGTTATTGTTGATACAACTACCTGGAACACGTTTTTGAACGCGCGGCACAAACTAGACCAGTGAACACGGTTACAGGGGCGTCATGTGTGTTAAAATGGGGAAATAGGGGACTTATACGTGAGAGTCGTATTTTCCGTTTTCAGAGATCAAAGCAATTTAAGCGAGGCTTGCCGAAGATAATTTGTCGGTTTTACGAGATTATAAAGAATGGTCGTAATTTTCTCATACATAATTTACGTCTTATTAGTGCATTAATTACGACTGGGGTTGTTTTCGACGGCATCAAAGTACAAAACACTGGGCATTGAGCTGGATTTATGCAAGAAATATGGCCATTATTGGTGCTCTGACTTGGCATTACCACTGTGGCTGGAATCTACCACACATATTCTGGTAAGACCATCCGCAAATGCTCAAGTCATCGTCAAAACGAATGCCCAAGGTGAAAATTTTCAAGTTTTGGTTAAAATGGGATAACCGCCACCTCCACTTCCACCACCGCCACCACCACCAACACCACCACCACCCCCACTACCATCACACCACCTCTACTACCACCAGCACTGCATCTGCCACTACCTTTTTTAGCCTAAAGAACTCTGGTACAGCTGAAAATAAGAAGGACGCTTTTGCCTACTAAAACATAAAAATATTTGCATCGCGGTCTGTTTAAATTTGTGTCCCAATCTGAACGAGGTGGATTGCGATTGATTGCTCCTCCTTCTCTTCATTTACTGGAATTCTTGGATGTTAGAGTATCTGTTAAATAAAGTGCTATTTACTAGTGTTTGTGAGATCTCGATTTCTAACGGAATGAGCAACGATAATGCCATTTTGTCAAACTCCACTTAATTAAAACACACGCCAGGTGGCTATAAATAGTGCTTAAACTAAAACTTTAGTGCCTGAGCAGTTCTAAAACTTTTTTAACAGTTACAGTAAGAACCCATTTAAGGCAAACGACTTTATTACTCTAATTTCTAGTTAAGTAGAGCTTCATTGCTTTCTACATCTAAGTCTGCTTCGGCAAGTTAATTTGTTTTTTTCAAAATATAAATGTACACAACCGAAAGTTATTTTATTGGTTTCGCAAGCCACATTTTTTTAAATTTTTTTCTAATAATTAAAATCACTTTGCAATATTACCAGAAATTTCAAAAAATTAAACAATTTCCTTTAATTTTGAAACCTTAGCTACCAACATTCTGGGCTCTCAACTAGTCTTTCTGATTTCAGCTTAAATAATTTTAAGCTTACGAGTAAATTCCACTGTTTAGTAAAACAATATTTTTTTATCACAATTCCTGATAATTCGGACAAACAAGTATAAAAACCAGATCCTGACCGGATAAACAAGTTTCCACTGGCAACAACCAATAAAATAATCGCAACTGTGGCAAATTTCTGGGGTCCACAGTGATTGGTTGATTCGTAAATTGTTGACTTCGCTGGCGAGAAAATCGATCGATTATTCACCTGATGTCAGATCTAGCCAAATTGCTCAGTCTTTGGCCTATTTAGCCGAAAATGCGGCATTCAGTACAATTTTAAAAGGCCTTTTTTTTCTACTCGGAAGTTTTGGGGCAATAAAAGTTGCGCAAATAGCTGCTTGTGTTTGTTTCCCTGTCAGAACAGAATCTTAAAACACCATCTGGTGCAGTAATATCTGCTTGACAGAAGCCTCTGGTATGAAATTTAACACTTTTTCCAAGTAAATGTGACTATCGGTAAATTAGCTAATTACACAGACTGTCCCCTTGGAGGGCTAAAGGCAACCGTAGTTGTTTAAACACACTGACATGCATAATTTTGAAGTTGAGTAAAGGTGTAATTTAAACAAAGCGAAGTGTTGTTAAAGCAAGCGCGTGTACACCTCGCTACTTTAACAGCCAAGGATACATTTGTGGCATTTATATGATGATTGGCTTACGGTTCGAATAGATGATCATATTTAGCCAAAATATGAGTAATGCTGAACTCCTCTCATTCATAAAAACGTGTGAACGGTGAGTCATTATGATTTCTAAGGTGTGCATTCCTGCGGAATATGCCAAATTTTAGCGTTCTATGTTAATCAAAAGTCGGGTATTGTCACAGGATTATTTGTTTGCTCAATTGTGCTTGTTTCGAAGGCTACAGCCAATAACATGAAGGTGTACTTGTCTTCTCAGGTGGTATTTCTCCTCCACGTGTCCTAGTCCCTCAGCAACGCCTAACTACTGTACCAAACACCACCACTGCCGCTTCAACGATGGAGAAGGAGGCTGTTCCACCGTGTACCACGCATTCCCAACGACCGCCGAGCTTCGCTGCCGCTGAAGATGTCGGTGGCACGCACCACACACATCACCAGACCCTGGAACAGCCCACAAACCTCACCTTTACGGCCTCGTCGATCGCATCCCCCTTCGTGAGCGAGGCTCCCATGTCGTACCACTACAGTGCCACGACGCCAACCACGCAGGAGGACTTCCAGAAACCCACCGCCGCTGAGCGTCCAACAATTCAGTTGATAGTCAACACCAAACTAGGCGAAGACGTCATCAACCTCAATGAGGTCACCGATTCTGAGTACGAGTCATCGGTGTGGGTGAGCCGGCGTCAGGTCACTGTGATTCCAGCTGAACACACAGGACGTCTTGGCAAACCGGGCGCAGCTTTGAAGAAGGTGACCAAGGCAAACAGACACGGAACCATGCCAGAGGGTCATCACCACGGGTCAAAGGTCAAGGCCGTCATCCAGGGTGCCTGGAAGGGGGCCAGACGGAAGAAGACGGCTCCTGGCGCTTCGAAATCATCGACCATACCGGTGAGAGATAAGAAGGGCGAGAAACAGTCGCAGCCAGAGTCGCATATTTAATGCGTGTACTTGTCTTTCGTAGATTTACAAACATCAACCTCCCATCCTGTGTATAGAGTACTCTATTGTGTCCACTCGATCATTATTTCCTGCTAACTAAAATCAACCACACAAAATAGATTTGCTGTACTATAGAGCTTTCAATTTAATCATATTTACATGAATCAGATGTAAGTTGTTGCCTTGTATTCTACAAGATGGGGTGTCAACAACGCGAAAACTCTTTCAGGGTTCCTGCTGCAAATTGATTCGTTTCCTCAATGTGTCTACGCGGAGAGAGGAGTGGCAAATGCGTATCTTGTATTTAAACTGGATTCTAGTCTTTCACTACTACGATTCCAGCTTCATTGGCTAAACATATTGTCATGTGCCAAACATGTTTGCCCTCCAGTCCTGGTTTAATCCAAAAAAACGTTCATTTTGCACAAGTTGCTCTGAATAGGAAATGCATTCAAAGTGGGATCATTTAATCTCTCAGCTATCTGTACAGTTGTTGTAGGATTGTACTGATTGGTGGAAAACGTCATTATCAATGCCTAAAGGTCACTTTGAGCGAGGTTTATCGTGTAGGCTGTAGTCAACATTGGAGTTTGAGGGCGCAGACATATTGAACCACGCTGGTCTCAGCCAATCGTGGGTCTCTCTGCGTTCCAATGGCATGCGAGGAAGATAAGCAGCTATCCAGAGAAGGACACGAATGAGATGCAGTGTATAATGAGCGGCGTGGCCAGCGTGGTGGATTCGGATGGAAGACGCCTGGCGTGTGTTTCTGGCTTGTGATTGGTCAATGAAGCCTGTTCTGTGGTACCGGTTTTTTCCTATTAGGGCTCGGGTATTCTACAGAAGTGCATCACTAGGGCGCAGACATATCGAACCACGTCGGGCTTAGCCAATCCCATTTCCTTGGGCGATTAAATTGCCCAAAGAAGAGACGCACAAGTTTACTAGCAGTTCTGGCATGTGTCTGATCAATAGAGTTTGCTTCGGTGTATGTGTCGCCTTCATAGTATGTCTCGAGTGTTCTACGCTTGTTTAAATCGACTAAACCTATTTTTACCCGCTTCAAGAGCAGACAAACGGTCAGAGAAGGCGTTTTGACTATTTCTACTGCAATTCCAGCACTGGCTACGTTCCAAAACTCCAGTCTTGTCAAAAATGTACTTTTCATTATTCCTTGACACTAATGTGTATGAATCTTTTTGAGGATTACGGTGTATTTTGGCGACTGCTTATAATAAAATTACAAAAATACAATTAGTGCAGTCAAATTGGATACATCAGCCACCTGCAGTCAACAAATGCAATGTTTTGTTAGTTTTATAAGTGCTCCGACATCAAAATTGGCGGCAGTGCCGTAAAGCTTAGTGATTGGTTAGTTTGTTTTGTTAAAGTAGCCTTACTCGCACAATCTGCAAGGACAAAGCAAGTATTAGCATTTACGTATTTATTCACGCCGGAGTTTCCAGCAAATTATCAACCCAATAATGCTGAACACTATACGTGGAGCAAAAGAAAGACGTAAAGCAAATTAGGCTTAAATGGATTGTCTGGAAAGTGGGTCACTTGGTTTCGAGCGATTCCAACGTAGCAATTCGTGCCTTTGTTGATGTGTTCCACAGTTTGGATGCTGGAACTGCTGCCTGGGAGGCTTGTGGCGTGGTCGTGTGTTCTCGATCGACTGGCTGCACTTCGATCACGGAGGGCTTAGCGTGGCCTGTGGTGTTTTCGAGGAAACACAGCAGCACTAACTGAAGCAGTATTATGAGGGTGTACACGACAAAGGGAAGGCCATGCGAAATTTGATCTAATCGATTGATTACAGGGAACCAGAGGGCGCCGATTCGGGCCATGCCCGCCGCCAATCCAAACCCACGATTCCGGTAGATGGGCTTATACAGCTCCGGCACGTAGATGAAGAGCATTCTCTGAGCGGCTGACAGGAAAAGAATGATGATATTACTGAAGAAGTTGAGTAGTGTGTCGTTGTCGGGTTGGAAGTAGAGGGTGTGGAAGGTGGCCACAGTGCCCATCACCAGGATAGCAATATACACGCCCAACAACGGCGACTTTCGCGATTTGCAGTACCTATAAAGAAAGGCAGCGAGAACGCAACCAGGTATTTGCGCTAGGGAGTTGAGGATTGTCACAAAGGACACGTGTAATTTGATGTTGCTGGCGTAGAACACCATGCCAAAGTTGCACGTTATCTGACAGGTTAGAATGAAGGTGGAGAGAATGGTTGTTTTGGCTAGGTCTGGCCTAAACAGCTGCCAGATCGCGAATTCTTTGCCGTTGTCGGTTGACGAGTACTTGGCTCGCAGGCGCATATTGCGCAACAAGATGTCCTGCCGGCCGTTCGGACCTAAGCCTACGTGTGTGAAGAAGTCGTCGATGTTCATCACCGCGGTTGTGTCGGCTTTGCGTGAGAAGCAATTACGGAAGCGTGTGTTAAAACGGTAAGCCGAGTGCAATATCTCAGCGGCCTCTTCGGCTCTACCGCATGCTGCCAACCATCGGGGTGATTCTGGAAGAAACCAAAGGTGAAGGAAGACTAGAGTGCAGGGTAGTGAGTTTAGAAGGATAAATACCCGCCAGTTAGTCACGTAATGGGCGAACAATCCCAGCATGCTGCCTTGAACAACCAATTGAAGGATTATACCGGTCGCAGCTAGTATGGAACGATATTTGGCCGTGGTGATTTCGGCTGACAGAACGACGTAAGCGGAACCACGAGCCGTTCCAAACGTTGCTAGGGCAACGCGGCTGACAATGTAGAACCAGTGGCCTGGACTACAGGCTGTAGTGATGCTCGCTGCTGCCTCGCAGAATCCTGCAACGACAATAGCCTTTCGTCTACCGACTCGGTCACTCAGCCAACCGCCTAGAATGAATCCCACGAGCATTCCAACCATGTAGGCGCTTTCGTTGAAGGGCAGTTGCCAGGCCTTGTCGCAGACTAGATCCCACTGCTGAACAATGCCGCCCTTGTATTGAAACTCGGAGTAATCGTAGATGTAGCCATGAGGGCACGAAAAATTCGTGTCCCCAGACTTGCTTGTAGTCTGGTAGAAGTCTAGGAGTTGGTGGATGGTCAGGTTATCCGGTGGTTTGCCAGCATAACTCCTGCACTGGCTCAGTCGACTGTTTTTTTCTGTTAATGGGCCTAACATCGCCGCCAGCTCCTTAAATTTTGGCTTTTTCTGATGCTGCCTTTCAGCCCAGCTTTCAAATAAAACCTCTCCGCGACATCGATGACTTGGCATAGAATTGAAGAAAACTGACAATAAAATGTTGTTAGAGAAAGAAAACGACGTCAGGAGGATAACAAAAACCTGCCAGGCCCCGAAGCCCCCAACTAAGGTTCTGAAAGTGTCATCGATTTGCGTCCCGTACATAGCGGTGCTGGCATAAGCGCGTTCAGAAGATCCACCAGATCGCGCTCAAGCCATTCTAAATGGAACAACGCCATGGCTGAAGCACGTGGTCGTGCCACCACGCGTGGCGTGTCCTCAATCGATAATATTTCAGGGGCATCTGTGTTCCTGTCGCTACCACCTTGCCTGTTAGGTTGATCAGGCGGGTTGTACTAAGTACAAAAATCCCTTTGTATTTATGAGTGACTCGCAAGTTTCGTTTCAATCAGTTCAAAAACAAAAGTAAGAGATTTTTTCCCACTAGATTACACCCATCTTAAACATCAAAAGTTCTCTTTTTTGGCTACCAAGGCCAAATCCCAAATGCCTCAAAATCAGCGCTTTGAGTAGGCTGAAGTTCCAGGTCCCGTGTGCAAAATTATCGATTTTTTGCCACAAGTTAAGCTTCAGCAGTAAAATCGATTGGATTTGTATTAGGATTGGTGAGTGAATCGTAACAAGTATCCGCTAACTATAAAATTTCTAATCTGTTTTGTAAGGCCATTGCGCATCATTTATTCACACTTATAAACTTGAGCAGCATTTACATAATTGGATGCCATAATCATACAAGACAGATATGCATGAACCCACGAGCATAGTGTAGACTTGTCATTAAGTTTTATACCCAAAAATGCAATTTCATTTGTGACACTCTTCTTGAACCTAATTGGACCGTGAAGCAAATGCTATCTGGACCATTGTTGTGCGCAGAAATGGAAGCCACATTAAGAACTGACATACTAATTGGGTAGTTTTTAAACAAAAACCATGTAAAATTGATTTGGACTGCTTTGTTATTCTACGCTCTGTGTAAAATAATACCTCCATAAGAAGTAGGGAATATGCGTGCTGAAATCTAAGAACAGAAATAGCAGCAAATTTAAAGAAAAGTTTGAATAGTGTTTCAGCAAAACCAGTGTAGTAAAATAAAATGTTATATGGAATTTTATCTGACAAATGTTTTACTCCCCGGATTAATGCTATAGGGTATTGACAAGCATTTAAACAAGAAAAAGATCCGAATTCAGAGCGTCCAAATTCGATAACCTGAACATTTTTCTCCTTTCAACTTTTCCTTTTACACTTCTACTTGTTGATCTTTTTCCAAATGGTCAACAGAACATCGATACTTCGGTCTGGCTAGTGCGGGTGAAGGACAAGGTTATACGGAACTAGCGTGTTACTCACAGACGCAGAACATGACAATCTGTTAATGAGAATTGTACGACTAGGATATCCGAGTAGAAACTAGTAGCGATAGAGTATTCTATGTTCACGTAATTTACGGAAGGGGTGAGTTGAAGTTCTAATACAAGAATCACTGTTACAGTGCGCTTAGTTTCATCAGCAAATTTCCTGAATTCTGCACGTTGATACCTGTTGGTTAATTAACAATTAAACCTATTCTTGTTAACAATTGAAATGGCACTTTCTGTCATGTTTATGCCCTTCTAAGATAGCTTGCATCCCTACAATTTAAAGTGTTAAATAAATTTTATTTTGTCTCCCTTTTGGATTGCGTGGTAAGTCTGATTCAGCCTTGTAAGGTACAATCAGTCTACTTGTCTTTAATCGTCTGACTTTTCTTTGTTCTTCAGGATTCCTTGTTAGTTTATAGCACAATTCATCCCAAAAATAGACGGTAACTAGGGGGTAGTTTATTGCGTAAAGCAAATAAAATATACAAGCTAAATCAGTTTTCCACATATCAACAATTTGCGTTGCTATGATATTTAAGTCAATTTTAGGCAAAAATGTTGTTGCGTAATCAAAGTAATATTTTGATTTCATTGCCTTAATTTTAATTTTGATACACTATAAACCACCTTTACTTAAGCCTTTAATAAAAGCAAAAAATGTTTCTCCGCATCGAAATGAGCAAAGCCATCAAGGCCTTTTTTCATTTTAGGATATATGACTGAACAAAGTACATAAAAAAAACGACAACTTGAAAGAAGTGCGAACGATCTAAATTACATTTTCCGTCGTCGAAAGATGCAAAAGGCGGCTATCAGGTCGTGATGATCGATATTCATAAGAAAATAAATTGGACTTTGGGTATGCTTAATAAATTCGAAAATAAGTGCATATTTTTACTGCATACACTTGTAACGGATACACTTAATCTGTTCCGAAAATTAATGTGGAATAATTTAAAATATTTAGGCTTACTATACACAAAATCCTTGAACCAACTTTGACTAATTTTTCGATAAAAGCTAATTAAACACCTGAGGTGTATGCCCCGAAGCATAATATTTAAACTACTATAATTAGAAAAGATGTCCATTCGAATGAAATTTTCATAAGATGTTTAATGCAATTATTTCGTTGAATCTATTTTGTTTGCACAAAAGTGGAAGATAATGCATACAATGCCACGCGTTTTGTAAAAGAAAACAAGCACAGCTCCATACCCTGCTTACGAGTTAGAGCTATCTCATGCCTAATGTTACTTCATGCATAAACCTGTGTTTTACTCTATCCTAAAGAAGAGTAGTCCATGAAGTTCTATTTGTTTGACCAACCTGAACGTGATACTTTGTGTCTACGCGGATAAATTAAGGCGGTTTCTTTCCGAGTGGGCACCTGTTTAAATTTATCCTTGTTTTTTGCTTGAAAATGCTCTCAAAAACCATATTTCTACCATTTACTTGCAAGATTCACCTCGGCATTTATACACAGTAATAATGCCATAAGTCATTTTTGTACGTTTCGGCAAAGTCCAGTGGGACGGAATTTTGTGTACTGATTTTGGCATTTTTCTTGAGCATGTACTTTCTGGGATTTCATATACAGATATGTAATTGACCTAATTTTTCCAGTTTATGCAGCACATGCACTAGTAGACATTTTGGACTCTGACTTTTTGTACTTCCCTATCTTGGATTTAATCACTAATTCGATATTTTCGTCTCCATGATACTAATTCTCACAATTTACTCACTTGCGTTAATGTGTTTTCTATGATTAAGCTGGGCCTGGTCACGTATTTCAATGCGAATTCCACACTCTTCTGAAAATTTGTTTATTTGGGTTTTTTGTCGTCTCACAGTCATGTCTGCGGTAATAGTCTCTCTAATCTAGAACGTAATCATAACTTATCTGGGTAATAGGCCTTATTGAAAGTGTGTTGTTCTGTCAAAAGGTGTGACTTGTGTCTTCCCGTGCTGACTATTCTCATGCAGCTCGCTTTGATACTGATGCCGTTATTGTCCCCTCATTACACTTTGAGTTTCTTGGAAATATTGCAAGCCTTCACTTAAACCAAGGCATTAACAACTAACTATTTAACGTAATTTTCGGTTGTAGTCTGTGCATGGTAAATGTTTCAGTGCAAATTTTGCTTTAAGCGAGCTATGGCCCCAATTCGATTTTGCATATCTGTAGGTTAGTTTATTTCCTAGGAATATATCCTTCAGCTGAATTGTCAGTTTTTAGGATTCTATAACTTAATATCATGAAACTTACGTCACTGAAATGTTTTTTATATTCCTCTATGTTTATACGAGAGCACCCGATTCGTCAAAAACTGCATATTTTACGTGTACTTTATGTAGTGTTTGAAATGTATTAATGATCCCACGAGAACCTTCCTAATTTATTAGTGTGCCTCGTGTTGTAGCATTAGTAGTCCTTGTTACCAAATCCGCATTCTCCTCCGAAATGCCTCGTGACTTGATAACACTGCAATTAGGCCAATGCGGGAACCAAAGTAAGTTGATTATCATTGTCGTGATTTTTTTAATGATATTTAGCACTTCTCGTCAGTCGAATGTTTTTTTAACCTAATAGTCGGCATGGAGTTTTGGAAGCAGCTCTGTACAGAGCACGGCATCAACCCTGAGGGTACCCTAGAAGAGTTCGCCACCAATGGTTCGGATCGAAAGGATGTGTTCTTTTATCAAGCAAGTCTTTTACCCCGTGCCCCTTTCTTTTTTTTCGGTTTTGAGAACAATGTGCGAGTTTTGGCCCGGCCATACCACCGCCACGCTTGTATTTTGCTTATTGCCATTTCAGGCTGACGATGCACACTACATTCCGCGTGCGGTTCTAGTTGATTTGGAGCCCCGAGTCATCAATACCATCCTCTCCTCGCCCTACGCACGGCTCTACAACCTCGAGAACGTCTACATGTCCAAAAACGGTGGTGGCGCCGGTAACAACTGGGCCGCCGGCTACACTCAAGCGGAAAAGCTTCAAGAGGAGGTCTTCGATATCATCGATCGCGAAGCCGAAGGCAGTGACAGTCTTGAAGTGGGTGCTTCAAATGTTTCGCCTTTTTACCACATATTATCGCATCTTGGTATTGAATTGTGTTCAGTTTGTCAACATTCTCTATTTTGAGCGATCAACAGTTTGCCCTTCTATCTTCCAATTGCTATTAACCCGATTCAACTTCACCAATGCTGTTGACCTTTCCCCCCAAATAGGGTTTCATAATGACACACTCCATCGCAGGTGGAACTGGCTCTGGGATGGGGTCCTTCATGCTCGAACACCTAAATTCGCACTTTCCCAAGAAACTAATCCAAACCTACTCCGTGTTCCCCAACCTCGAGGATACCAGCGACGTGGTCGTGCAGCCCTACAACTCACTTCTCACCCTCAAACGCCTCACGCTCAACGCCGATTGTGTGGTAAGCGTAGCCACGTTTTCCTGCTGCGACAATGCCAATCCCTCATCACCCTCAATTTTAGGTTGTGCTGGATAATACGGCGCTGCACAGGATCGCTACTGATCGTCTTCACCTTGAGAACCCGACTTTCGCGCAGATTAACCAACTCGTGAGTTTCTCTGTTGCCTTGTTGTACCTGTGTGTGTGTGTGTGCTAATTTGTAAGTTGGTGGGATTAGGTTTTGCCGTTGTGTGGCTACCAATAGAACAGAGACCATATGTGGCTCTCTGATTGGTCCATTTGACGTAGTTTTTCGGGAGTCGCCTTAACCAATAGCATGATTGGAATGCGTCACATGCCTTGACACCTCTTCTATTCCGTTACTTTCCATGTGCAGGTTTCCCGAGTGATGTCTGTGAGCACAGCCACCCTTCGTTACCCCAGTTACATGAACAATGACCTGATTGGTTTGATCTCACCTCTAACCCCTACGCCGCGGCTACACTTCCTCATGACCGGCTACACTCCCCTCACCACGGAAAAGGAGGTGGCCAATGTGCGACGCACCACGGTGTGTGACGTGATGCGGCGTTTGCTCCAGCCCAAGAACATGATGGTCTCCACCTCCGTGCAACGTCAAATCGACCATTGCTACATTGCTATCCTTAATATTATTCAAGGTGTGACCAAGCGCTATTCGACCCCTGCACCAATCAGCCAATCGGGATTAATATTTAAATTCGCCTCTTCTTTCTCTAGGTGAAGTCGATCCAGCCGAAGTACACAAGTCCCTCCAACGTATACGTGAGCGGCATTTGGTGAAGTTTATTCCTTGGAGCCCTTCGAGTATCCAAGTTGCACTTTCCCGGCGTTCGCCGTACGTACAGGCGGCGCACAAAGTCAGTGGTTTGATGCTTGCCAACCACACAAGCATCTCCTCCGTGAGTCGACGCTTTGACTGGTCCTGCACCGCTACGGGGTTGGTTTGAGTGCTAACCGTCTTTTCCTGTTCAGTTGTTCATGCGCTCTCTGGCGCAGTATGACAAACTGCGGACTCGCGGCGCCTTCCTCGAGCAGTTCCGAAAGGAGGACGTGTTCCGCTCTGATCCGGATTTGAGGGAATTCTCCGACAGTCGACAGGTGGTGCAAAACCTCATTGAGGAGCACATCGCTGCGACCAAACCGGACTACGTTCAGTGGGGTGCCCAAAGAGCCGCTACTCTGGCAGCTACCAAGATGGCCGCTTCTATGGCAGCGTCGTAATTACTTCGTATTGTGGGCTATTGTATGGAGGAATTTGTAAACACAGTTTATTGTTTGCTATTATTGTACACACACCATGGACAAGCAATCTTGCATTATTTGCACTTTGTGATATTCTGCCAAAAGGTTGATGTAACTGTAATCCTCTTCTCGGGTTTTAAAACCACCGTGGGTATCTCCATTTACCCCCAATAGGTATGGACCGATAAGATGGTCAAGTAGTGATGGAAAAAGTTCTTTTAGTAGATGATGGATTGCCAATAAGAACATGGGGTATTTTCTTGCCTTTATTTGCCAACGATATATTTATCCAGTTACTGTGTCGAAACTAGTTTGATTCAAAGCCAGATAGGCAATAAGTCGTAAGTGTCAGGAAACTTGGCTTTTCTTCATTTCACTATGATGAGTGCAGTGGACAAAAGTGCACAAGTCAGAAAGTAGATGGGAAGTTCACAAGAGCATTAGTCTGGTTCACACTTGTGTTGGTCAGGTCTATCTCGTGGAAGAATGCGTACAATATTAAATCGAGATTGTGATCATCACGAACAATCCATGTGGAATTAGCTAATCACTTGGGTTCTTGAAAACTAGGGAATGTACAAGTATTTTAGCAGCAAAATGCTAATTTAGAGTTTGAAATAAGTTTCGTAATTCTCGTTGATTCACACTCTTTAATCCGGTCACTTCAGCCTCCGACACATGGTCCCCTTTTTGCAGCATGCGTCAGCCACGCAGATCCTTAAGTCCCACGTCATTATCTTAGATTATTCTCACGCCTAAGTCTCACGCATCTAAGCTATAAATACACACGTGCAAACTCCACACATGACACAATGAGACCAACTTGTTTGAGATCGCATGTAGACATTTAAGTCCACGTCCTTTCTGGTCTTCTCCTTAATCGCCTGTATCAGGAAGGCGTAAACGCACTAAATCCATGTCAGTGGCCCTGGCGTGGTTCAGGACCACAGACTGATGAGACGTGAATTAACGCGTTTCACACGAAGTAAGGATGCTAGGTCACAAAATAAATTCAAATGTCGTTATTTTAAAATGAATAAAACTGTTAAACAAACAGTTTAATCACATTTATTTAAAGTTAGTCCTGAGCCTCACAGTGTATTTAAAACATCCTAATTATTAAAACTAAGTAACTGACAGTAAAAAAGAGTAACGTCTGTTTTATATACGAAAACCGATGCAATTGACGAAGGGTTAAACAAATCAAAAAGTGATTTTTAGTTTAAGATTTATAGAGACAAAACAGTCAAAGACGTATGTTTACCATATATTTTACTGTAATCTCTGCCTCATTCAGTGAATATAGTCAGCCAAATTATTCGCTCCAGCTATGCTTTGGTTTTGCATAACTGGGGACGTCAGAGATTTTAAATTTAGCTAAGTAAACTGTTTTTTATAATAGTTTAGTAATTCCTTAAGTGTTTTCCTCAGTCTATAAACCATTAGACCAGATTGTTTTGATTCCCTTCCCTTTGTGGCGGTTGATTTACTGGCGCTGGGAATTTGTAGTCTTCATCTTTTTTTTATGTTCAAGTCTTCAGGTACCGTCTATAACTATCCAAACTCATTTAAAAAATTATTACTTGTAATTACTTCTTAGTTTGTGGTTTTTATCCATGATCCAACCTCAATATGCTGCTTCGGCTTCTATGGCAGAATTTCCGATGTACTTTTCCTCCATTTATAATCACTACTACACTCATTCACCATATTGTTCGAAACTGTAGCTATTAGTGGGTATTGTGACGTTTCCATAGTGTCTTCACGTATGCACAGTGTTCGTTGTTTAGTCAATGAATTGAGCTAATTGCTTGACAGTTTGTTATTTACTACATGCAATATTTGTGGAACATCACAGGAAGACAGCAAATGATTTTTTTTGATAACTTGGTCACTTTTGAGACCTAAAGTCTGATGCTTCGTCGTAAATTTTATCGCTAATTAAGTTTTCTAACTTTTGATTGTTGGAAGTTCATGGTTCTTGCGTCATTGCTTCCGATCGTGTCGCATTTAGTCACTTTGTAAAGCTTAATTTCAAATCACTGCAATATTTCAGTAACAGACTGATTTTATGTTCTTAATCTAAGTATCTCATACCATAATTACCACATGGTTGTACGGTGATATTTTTTCATCTGTTTTGTTATGACGTACTGAAACCGTCAAATGATAGTTTTCGCTATTAGAAATTTTCCGGTCGTTGCTCTTACCTCCATTTTTGAGTCGTCAACTTCACAATTGTAAACTTTCTCAATTACTCAGGGTGTGACCGATTTCCGCCTACCGCCTTTTTGTTTTTTAATTCGTTTTTCTTTCGTTTCAGGCAATGGGGGAGACGAACTCAAAAGTGGCCTTCGAAATTTGTGTGGTAACTGAAGACTACCTTGGCAGCAACCTTGGGCCCGGAATCAACATGGTCATGTTTGACAACAAAAATGTACAATCACCGATAATTGCCCTTGACTATATTTTTCAAAATGAAGTGGATTACCATCAGGCGAAGTTCACGATTGATCTCCAGCCATGGAGCAGGCTCAAGGTAAATGCAACTTGGCGTCTCGTAGCTGTGTAATTTGTAAATTCATGTTTGTCGCTACAACCGCGTTGTATGTCCTAAACGAGTCTTATTTCGCGCTATCCTTGGATCCGGTGTTCACGATCTTGTAAACTGGAAATTGTTACTACACTAGCTGACCGCTCCAATTGCAAAACAGATGCCGTTTTGAATTTTCCCCAACCAGATGGAGCGGTTAGTCAGACGAGTAATGCTTTTCATTTTGCCTAGATCGGTAACACCGGCCCATGGATGTGGCGATTTCGACATGGCGCAAGGTCACTTGTGAGCTTTGTCTTGAGCTGCGTTTTCCCGCGAACTCCAGCTCACCTTGCCAGATTGTCGAAAAAAGGCGACAACACTCGTGGCAGTGCCTCCACTAGCCTGGTTTTAGCGTACTCAGTGGCTGATTTCAGTCTTGCAAATAAGATGCGATGCTCGGTTAACAAAAAACAGCCCCACAAGAAGCACCTCAGGGATCATTTTTTTCTACCTGACTGTTTTTAAAGTCCTCGCCTTTGTCTTTTTGTCTTATCATTGCCATTACTTCCCGTGTGGTGTCTTCCCACACGTCCAGCATATCAATGTAAAAAGCAGCCAGTGCCTTTTCATTTTACCTCGCACTAATTTGTACTTTTAATTTTTGTCTTAGTACAAACACTTTCACACATTACTCTACTGTTGGCACTTGTATAGTGGTTGGCTTTCCATCCTAATTTAGAATTCGGTAACTTTGCAGTTGGTGAGGAGCCATCGTGACTTTGACCTCGTGTTCCGGTTAACTGACTCGTGGTCTGTTTGTGGGTGAAACGCACGGTTGCACTGGTTTTTCCTAGGCATATTCCCAGGTGGCATTTAGCGTTATTACGCTTCGGTTGAAATTCAGTTGGCAATAGCGGACATCACCACGACCTTGCTGATTCTCGTGACCGTGTGAGATATTTGATGGCTTTTGCCAATTTAAGTGTTAGGCGTGTTATGTAGTTTCTGTGGGGGCGGCCATATTCGCCTTGCATGCTCGGTGGTAATCGTCACTAGACTAATGTGTCTCTGTGTGTGTGTGTGTGTGTTTGGCTTTCGATCAGGCCTTCGGACGGCTGCATCACATCGAGTTCTGGCGGACGGACGCGACCGGGGGCGCTTTTGTGCCTGCCTGGTTCCTAGATCGCGTGGTTGTCCGCGATCGCCGATTCGGCCTCACCGGAGAATGGGACTACTTCTTTTTCCCCGTGCACGATTGGATCGTGCCGGAGGCGCAGTATGTCATCCACGATTGCGAGACCTTTCTGCCCCAAGAGGAGCCTTTTCCGGACCTGCGGGACGCGCAGCTGGCTCGGCGCCAGCAACTCCTCAACTTCATGCAGCGCGCCAAGGGACTGCCAGTGGAGGTAAGCGGGCTGTCGAGGCAACGCGCCGCCAAAATTGGGAACCAAACCCGATTACGCTACGTCGATTTCCTCGATTACTAGATGTGTGTATGTGTGCGTACTTGCTAGATCACAATGTAGTCAATGCGGATTGGCTGTTTAAGAACCAATGGGTAGTAAGAACGGGTCACAATAGCCAATCACAAGTCCTCGTTGGCAGTCCACTAGAGCAAGGGTTTTCTCAATACTTTTTCCTAATGTGTCTTGTAGATTAGGTAATTTAATGGCAAGAACACGTATAAAAAGCATTGAGGATGTGGATTAAATGTCTAAATCTGCGCTACCGTTTCCGTCGACTTTCCTGTAGGCTTATTGGTGATGTAGTCGCCTCTACCTCATTGGCTAGAATATCCGATGGATGCCAAGATAGCTTAGCACTTCACTTTAATTTGAAGCGGTAACACCTGTCCAAATGAAGCTTATTAGTTGTGTGTATAAATGTGATATTGCTCTTCAAAAGTAAATTTTTTCGCCTAAATGTAGATTATGGAAGTGCCAACCACAGAACTCTTCTCCTACGACTCGCGAGTAAGTTTGCCGTGCAGCGTCTTCTGCCAAATTTGACCAATCCTATCACACTCGCACCTAACCAATCCCTTGTCTGCCCTTAGTGGGACATTGAGGACATCGTGCTGGAACTCATCGATCGAGTGGGTCTCTCGCACGACTACGGCAGCGAGGAGCCCTGGGACTCACTCGACTCCATAGGCAGCCTCTACAAACGCCACAACATCACTGAACCGTTGGTGAGTTACTCGAATAACTCGCACGCAGCTCCGCACCAATGGGAACTTTTGCATTTTCCAAATATGCCTCATTTCTAGAGCCTTTCCTATTGGATGATGAATGATATCGCATTTGGAGCTCAACGCGTGAAAGGATGCAATCCCTTCGTAATCAGGCTGTGCTCGGGACTCCCTGAAAGGTGTGTTTTGTGTGTGTTTGTGAAAATCAGACTCAATTCCACAATAATCAGAATTTCTAATGTACTCTTATGTGCTGCCCAACCCTGTCCTGTTACCATGCCAACCTCTGTGTGAGTGGCGACGACGAGTCAGTTTTGGGTGTGGCCGCGTTATGCCACCAACATAGCCCTAACCACCGCGTTCTGAATTCTGAAGTTAGTGTGGAGTGTATTGGCGTGCGTCATTTCTCGATAGGGAAATTAGGTACGTAACCGACACACTCATCGACCAATCACTTGTGTCTATTTAGACGCAGGTGATTGGTTGATCGCCCTTGTTTAGAATCAAACATTATGTTGAGTTGGGATTAAGTCAGAAGTGACTAAACTTCATTGATTCTTGACAAACTTCACTAATACCCGTTTTGTGGTCAATTCTCAGCCAATTAGGTCAGCCATTGTCGGTTTTATTAGGTCAGCCATCTCCACAAGACACGCGAACGTGTGATTTGACCTCCTCTGCCGATTATTGAAAGTTCAAAAGACCGCAAATGCTCATGCAGGAGTCGGTCTATTCTAGAAATTAGTTTCCTGTGAAAATACGGCCCTCTAGAGAAGGCGTTAAATTGGAAGCAAGTCAGTGGACGCAGTGGTTTGGATTTTGTATATTTATATTTCGTCGACAGAAGTGCGTTGTTTCTTTTGCGTCTAGTATGGCTAGTCTGCGTGACTGGATTAAGCCTCACCTTGAAGGCTGGACCATTCAGCAGACGCTGGTTGCCAAGCGTCTCTACGTGGTCGACTACTCGATCATGCGTGGTCTGCACTGTCGTCAAGGCCGACTCATGTCTGCCCCGCTGGCGCTCTTTTTCTACACCGAGAAACGCCAGCTCCAGCCCCTCGCCATCCACCTGGACCCCTCCTCTATGGACGAGAGACTCGTGAGTCTGTGAATGCTTGATTTGCGCTTGCATAAATAGTTTCCACGGATACTTTATCGTCGTTCACTCGCGAGCCAATCAGAATTCTCGACTGGTAAGCCAATCAGAATTCTCGACTGGCAAGCGAATCAGAATTCTCGACTGGCAAGCCAATCAGAATTCTCGACTGGAAAGCAAATCAGATTGTTTTGCGTCGACAAACGAGACATGCGCTAGTCGGACTTAGGAGAGCGTCCACGGTCTGTTTTAGCTCTTCCGCTGCACGGACAGAATTGAGGACTGGTTACAGGCGAAATTGTGGTTCAACTTGGCCGACTCCTGTCACCACCTGGTTGCCGGCCGGCTGCTAAACCACCTCATCCTCGAGGGTATATACGTCTCGTTGCGACGCAACCTCGCCCAATCACATCCCATCTACCAACTCCTGGCGCCCCACTTCCGCAGCCTACTGGCTGTCAACAGGTTGGTGATTGGTCGAGCACACACAATCTCTCTCTCTCTCATTGGTTAGTAACTGAAGTGTGCTTGTTCTTTTCACAGCAAAATCAAAGAGTGGATGCTCGATCGCGGCTGGATTGCGCGCAACATCCAACTCACCCGAAAAGGCATCAAACAGCTTCTCAAGCGGGCCTTCAAACAGTGGCGCTTCGATGTGCAGGCGAACGTCTACGCAGAAGCCGAAAGTCGTGGAGTAAGCTCGTTCCACCGTCTATCTTGATTTTAGGTGTACGACCGCAAGGGCCTTGGCAACTACCCATATCGTGACGACGCATTTATTGTCTACAGCATTTTGGACAAGTTTGTGACCAAGTTCTTGCGCATATTCTACAGTAAGCCGCGTGGTTTTTTTTCCGCAATCGCCCCGCTTGTGCAACGCATCGATTAAGCTCCTGATTGGCTGGCATTGTAGCACGCGGGTCGGTTGATTTATTGGAGGACGTGGAGCTACAGACGTGGCGTAACGAGCTGGCTGATCCCATGGAGGACGGTGGCCTGGGCATTGAAGGCATTCCGCTGGGAAAAGCTAGGGTACGTACACCACATCTCTTACCCCTAACCTCCAACCACCTTTTCCCGCAGGTCCGCAACGGTGTCGTGTACCCCGTGGGTGGAAACGTGCTCTCCTCCAATGGCAGCTCACTCAGCGGTGCTTCCAGTGCCAGCAGTGGCGAGTACGTTTTCGGCTTGACCACCCTGGAAGAGACCAAATCCTTCATTCTGGGCATCCTGCACCTCCTCGTGATTGTCAGCGGATCGGCGCTGCGTTTGCCCATGTTCGATGAGTACGGATTTGTGGCGCACTACCCACTCAGTTTGTTCGGGGAGCTACCGATGAGACAAAGTTAGTACCCCTTCGACGTCCTATTCACAGTGTCTACTTAATAGATGTAAGTAGGCTGTATTTTTTATTGCTCTCACACTAGATGAAACCGATAAGCGGAGCACCCTAGACAGTTGGAATAGCCGCGCAAGTGGTTTGCGCTCTTTCTCTGGCTACGACAAGACCATTGCTGCCTTGCCCAACCGTCGAATGACCGTCGAGATGGTGCTATTCACGCGTGTCGCCAGTCGCATTCAAATGTCCAACCTCGGCAACTACGACTCCAACTTCATTGTCGACCCGCGCGCCGTGCCCCTGCTAGAGGAGTAAGCTTTTGTTAACCTTGTGAGGGACCTCTTCTGATTGGTTGTTTAAGCTTTAACTGTCAGCCAATCGGTTTGCGCGAACGGTCAACCAATCGCGTTGTTCTCTTGGAATCTCATTGTACTTGAGTCGTTTTTTTTTTACTTTTTGATAGATTTCAGAATAACCTGAAAGCAGCAAGTGACCAAATCGCCGCAAACAATCGTCTTCGTGACCTTCACCACAAGTATTTCGCCCTTGACCCTGCCGTTATGCCCAATTATCCGGGAGTTTAAAGTCGACCGCGCGTTACTCTGAAGTGGCTGTGCTCGATTTCATTCCAATCCCTTGCATTTTTGGCTGTGCTTTAATCTCTTTACTCTCCTTCTTTCTTGAAGTTTTATACGATTCTCTGACTTCAAATATGGTCTCTTTTTATTTATATTGTATAATAATTATCACTGGCATGATTGAGTTGTCTTGCGTTTTGTGTGTGTCTGAGTGTGTTTTCGATGTACAGAAGCTCTAAATTCTCGAAGATGTCACGTTGCCCGAAAAATCGAATCCGTTTATGCGTTTTCCCCCACTAGCACCAAGATGACCTTGAACGAGCCAATGGGAAAATACGAATGATAGAAGACAAACAAACGTCTAGCGTTTTAAAGAGATGTAGTCTTGGTGACGGCAAAAAAAGTCTTGGAATGTTGTCATGCGAGTGTCGTGTGTGTGATTAACTCGCACGATCAAATATTACTTCGAGGTTAATTGTGGTATTCCTTGTTGCCCAGGTTTAATGTTCAAATCGCTTCGTGCTTCCTTGGTCGCAATTCCAACTTTTGCCACAACGGCCTGTCGCTTCACCACTGGTGCTCTTCAGTCCCTGTTCAGGTAGGCGGGGGTCTTTTTATCTACTATCGAATGTCAACCAATTATCGTTTTTAAACTCTTGCCTTTTTATAACTGAATTTCTTGTTGATCCCCTCCTAACAATCCTAAAAGCGACCTGCAACATCAAAACTCTCCAATGTTGTGATCGTGGAGCTGTTTTACCAAGTAATCGACTCACTGGGCCATAAAATGAGTCAGTTTGAACATATTTCGGCGTTACTTTGAGTCATTCAAAAGGCATTTCGTGCTGATACATCAATCGCCATCATCAACGGACGCTCTGATTCGCCTGGCGAAATGACTATATGGCAAATCAAACGCAAGCTGAATTCTTGCCACCCATTGGTGGAAATTTAGCCAATCAAAATGAAATGAAGTGGCTGACGGAAATATGGAAAACGTCTAATTTTGTGAACACTGACCGGTCAAAGTACTTCCAATCGGAATTGGAATCGCCCAAGGGCTAACTGCACTCGCTAAAGCTCGCATCGAAATGTAGTTGGTGTGGTTACCTGTAACAGGAGGTACACCAAATCGATTTGACCCTGCCAGGCAGCGATGTGGAGTGGGCAACGACCTTCGTCGTCGGCGACAAGGGGGTTGGCGCCATTGGTCTTGGATGCAGTGGATTTGCTGTTGCGAGCGGATGGTGTGCATAGCAGGACCTTGGTCATCTTCACCAAACCCTCCAACACCACGACACTGAGCGTTGTCCTTCCGCACGCGTCCTACAACAGACAAGAGGGGAAAAGAGGCGGGTGTAATGACAGTACCTCCCAGTTGACGACTGATCGGTGATGGACGCGCTGGCAACAGCAAAATCGATATCGAGGAATGAATCGGTGCTACTCTGCCGTCGTTCCTGTCCTCGTTTAGTGTTCCTACTTCACGATGCTGTTAGCATGGTTGAAAGTGAAGTCGTTATGCACATTGCATTAGCTGGCTGCCGTAATTTGTGCAGATTTTAATGTGAGAAAGGTAGAGGGTAAGGTAGTTAATCTCGGACCAATAGTCAATCGGATTCTCCTACGACACACCATCTCTCAGGTTACGAACGAATGCCGTCACGAAGGAGGCATGCAGGCTTCGAGACAATGGCGTTACAATGGACGAATTTACGCACGTCGTCCAGCATTTTAGGAACTGTTTACTCCCTAAGACGTGTTGCTGCATTTCTGGTAGTCGAAAAAAGGCCAAGTCTGGTGAATATGCCGCTTGTGGAAGAACTTGCCATCCCAAGTTCACGAGGGCCTTCTGAGACGCGCAAGCAACGTGAGGTGGTCGAGCGTCGTCATGCAGCAGCGGCAGCAGTATGACTCGCCTGCTTCCTGTGGCGTTGCACAGCCACCGTCCGGCGACTAGTTTTCATGAGTTTGGAATCAAGTACACCCTTCGTGTCCCCCCAGATACACGCAAGAACCACCTTCAAGTGGATGTCCTGTTCCGGCATCGTTGTTCGGGGTTGCCTAGGATCCACCCCCAACTTGTTGTGTGT